CACACACACACACACACACACACACACACACACACACACACACACACACACACACACAATCAGTTTTTGGTAGGGTTGATTTTCCGCCTTTCTCCTTTTTTCGAAGTATTTTTACTTACCCAACTGAGCACCCTTAAGTAGTGCCAAACAGTCGGTGGTTCCTCGTCTGGAGTGCCTACTGCAGTCTTAGGGGGGCCGCTCGGTTCAGGGTGTCTGTGTTGCGTGTGGGTGATGACGGATGCTCGTCGGAGTGTCTCCCTGGCTCAGTGGGTGGTGGGAACCAACAGTCTGTGGGGTTCAATCGTGATGTGAGTAGGTCATGTGCTGCTTTGTTCCGTGTTGGATGTGTGGATGGCCTCGTCTGCGCTCCACCGCTTGCTTTGCATGTGGTTCTTTGCAGGTTGATGTGTTCGCTGTGTGGTGTGGCCGTGTTGTTGGCGTTGCCTTGCGCTTCGCTGCTCCGCTGCCTTGCTGCCGTTCCGCTGGCCGTGCCTTCCGTGTTTGCTGCTTGCAGGCCTTGTTGGATGGTTGCCTTGTTGCTGGTGCCTTGTGCTTCGCTCCACGGTTGCCGCGCTATGGGTCCGCTTGCCCTGTCGTCCCTTGCAGTGTGGTTACCTTGCTTGCGTGGCCTTGTGCTTCACTGCACGGTTGTCGCACTGCATGTCCTGCGTGCCATGTCGTTGCTTAAAGTCGTTTCTGGCGTTGTGCAGCCGTGTTGCCCCTACTGTGCTGCCTGGTGCTCCACAGGGTTGCTGCCCACTGCTCTTCTCCGCTTGGGGACAGTCTGCCTTCAACAGGGGTCAAAGGGTTCAGGACCCAAAGCATCAAATACAGGCATTCTGCAAATTGTTGATTGTTCAGCAGCCTCCTAATGAGTCTGTGCAACTCCGACGAAACAATCTTGCCATCGTCGTTGTTTTTTTTTTTTGCCAGTTTTCTTGGTTTTGGTGCTTGCCTTGTATGCTGGTTGTTGTAGTTTCCCTGCCTTTTGTGCTTGTGTTGTCTGCCCTCGCGCCTCCCCGTGCCCTCTAACCTTTGTGTTGCCTTATATCCTTTTGCTTTCCCCGTGTGCCCGTTGTGCCTTGTCATCCAACAGCTCATTGCCTCTCTGCCTCGACTTCGTCGACGGCTGGTTGTTGTCGCCGACCCGCCTTGTGTGCCTGTGTGTTGTCTGCATAAGGGGATGAGCCCTTCGTCGCTAGGTAGCAATGAGACCAGGAAGACCGTGAAATTATCCATTCGCCCCGGTAAAAGTCGGTCCTACCACACTTGAGGCATGCCGTACCTGCACAGTTACGGAGTACAAGGTGCGCCGGTGATCTTCATCGGAGATATGCATGACACAGGCAAACTTGTCATGACATACTATATGATCATAAACACACACACACACACACACACACACACACACACACACACACACACACACANACACACACACACACACACACACACACACACACACACACACACACACACACACACACACACACACACACACACACACACACACACATACATACCCTGTGTGACAACTTTCTCTCTCTCTCACACACACACATACATGCAGTACAGTAAACACACACACACACACACACACCCTGTGTGACAATTTTCTCTCTCCCTCACACACACACACATACATGCAGTCAGTAGCTCTCCCTTTTGTCCCTCACACACACATACATACCCTGTGCATCAACTCTCTCTCTCCCTCTCATGCACACACACACACACACACACACACACACACACACTGTGCAAGAACTCTCTCTCACACAAACATACACTGTGCGGAAGCTGTCTGTCTGACACCAAGAATTTCTAGACTAATCTAGCAAACTACTATCAGGGCATCCTTAGACCAGGGATGTAATAAATTTACCCTTTTAATCTTAGTCTTAATTGCACTCAGATGCATCCAGGAAAGTCTTAGTGTGAAGACTCTGCTTGCATACAAATACAAGAAAAAAGCACAAACTTCTGAGAATGGCTTGCGGGGTTGGGCATGTTTGGAAAGATACAGCCTCAGGGGGCATACTCACACTACCGTCTTCACCCGAATAGAACGCCCGGTCATTATAGCTGTACTTGGCACCACTCTCAGCCCAGATACGGCGATAATTTCTGGGCGTTCTATTCGGGTGAAGACAGTAGGACTCTTTGGAACGATTTCTGGGCGTAATTGCAGTCTGCTACACTGATGTGCAGCTGCAATGGCAATGAGGTACATCTAGAGAAGTCTTCGTGTGACTCTTCCCTTAGTCGAACACTCAGAGCATGATTCGTTTTGAATGAATGTGCCCATATTTCAGTTCAGATGCATTCAGGAAAGTCCTAGCGGAGAGTGTCTGCACTTACACTGTAGACCACATCCGATGCAATGATGTAGTCAAAGGGGGGCTTCACATGGTCCACGCCACGGTACCAGTCGAGCTCTTCCACTCTGACAACTGTCCGCTCGGTTCTGACATCAGACACTGTCTTCTCTCTGACCGCTAGCCCATCGCTGATTCCGCCGCCACTCTTGCACCCATTACACAACCCAACATTATTCCTGGGTTCGATCAGCTTAGGGTTCTTCGTTTCCATCTCGCCAAGTCTATCATCACCGTCATCATCATCATCATCAGATTCATCGACTGCTGATGCACAAACTGAGGCCAAGTTCTTTTCTTCAGCAGTAGCAGACCAAGCAGTCCCTTCCTTCCCCAGGCTTGTCCCACTCCCAGAGATTGGTCCCTTCTCGCCACCAACATGATCCACACCCAGTCCATCAGGTACAGATGCTGCTCCATCAGGTACAGATGAAGTTCGATTTCTAAGTCCAGATTCAGGCCCATCTGGTACAGCAGCTGGAGTTCCAATAGCTACAGGTGCTGTTGTTGATGCACTAGGTTCTTGCTTGGGGTTGGAAGTGACACGTGGAGACGAAAGAGATGAAGTCCGCGGCGGAGGAATTTCACCATAGCCAGTGATCCCAATAGCCTGATTAGGAAAGTTGACTACGACCTCAAAGTCCTTAGCTGGACAGTTGGCTCTGACGTTGCTTGCAAGGGTCTCCAGGCACTCTTCCACATCGGTCAGGATTACCTGTGCAGTATCATATCACATTTCACATTTCAGGCCAGGACATCAGAACTTCTTAGGCAGTGTTGTTGTTGTTGTTGTTTTTATTTTATTATTGTTATTCTTATTCTTATTATTCTTATTATTATTATTATTATTATTATTATTATTATTATTATTATTATTATTATTATTATTATTATTATTCTTATTCTTATTCTTATTATTATTATTTGGAAAACAGCCATTTTCAACCTTGAATCTTGTTTCAGTGATTGAATCCATAAACTCCTGCAATTCCGTTTCCCATTTGTTGACAAAACCACTCAGCTTTTTTTTTTTTTTAACTATTTTTTTTCAATTCAGTTCCATTTGCATGATCACTCTGTGTGTGTGTGTGTGTAGATGTATTTTTGCTTGCATTAGCACTCTGTGTGTGTGTGAGTGTGTGTGTGTGTGTGTGTGTGTGTGTGTGTGTGTGTGTGTGTGTGTGTGTGTGTGTGTGTGTGTGTATCTTTGCGTGCGAGTGTGTGTTTGTCTGTGCGGGTGCGTGTTTTTGTATTTGTTTGTTTGATCTGTTTCTTTCGTCTTCTTTTTTTTGCCTTTTTCTTTTTGTGTGTGAGTGTGCTAGGGGGAGTAGTAGGAGCATCTCCTCCTGACAGCTGTCAAGGGCCGCTCCGCTTTATAGCTGGGGAGCCTTTGTCAATATCATGTCTATATATATACTTCAACAATCAGGGCTCACTCACACTAGCTTTATCTTAAATGTATCTGTACTATCTGATGATTGACTGATCGCATTTACAGCCATACCTGGAATGATTTATTTATTTATTTATTTATTTATTTATTTATTTATTTATTTATTTATTTATTTATTTATTTATTTATTTATTTATTTATTTATTTATTTTAACTCCTAATGTGATCAATTCCCTCAATAATGTATATATACTATATGTTACAATTAAAATTGTCCTAATGTAATTCCCTAAATAATGTATATATAGTATATACTGTATGGTACTCAGCTCCACAGAAAAGTGCACGCATTTGCGTATTTGTTAATTTTGTTTGTTTGTTTGTTTGTTTGTTTGTTTGTTTGTTTGTTTGTTTGTTCGTTTGTTTGTTTGTTTGTTTGTTTGTTTGTTTGTTTGTCTATGGGTTTGTTAAACTCTGTTTATGTGTAATCCTGTTCATTCTTTGCTGTAAGGGAAGATTGACTAGATTGAGTCCCTTTTCTTTGTCATAGATTGAGTCAAAAGACACTAAGGAATCCAAAAACACTAAATAGAATGGACCTGTGCAGCAAGGGGGGAAATGGATAGATTGGATTTGAACAAGGATGAAACAGGTTAAAGAAGGCATAGACTAGAGTTAAACCAGGGTAAGAAGGATAAATAGATTGAGTCCTTTTTCTTTGTCATAGATTGAGTCAAAAGACACTAAAGAGCCTAAAAAGACTAAAGCAGGCATAGATTGGACCTGTGCAGCAAGGGAAAAATGGATAGATTGTTATTTTTTGGAACAAGGATGAAACAGGTTAAAGAAGGCATAGATTAGAGGTTAAAAAAAAAAAAAAAAAAAAAAAAAAAAGGTTAAAGAAGGCATAGATTAGAGGTAAACAAGGGTAAGGATAAAACAGATTAAAGCAGGCATAGATGGATTTGGGCAGAAAAAGGGCAGATTGGATAGTTTGGATGTGAGGAGCAAGGGCAGATTGGATAGATTGGATAAAGCTCTAAAGAAGCACATATTGCATTTGAAAAGAAGGCTTGATTAGCTCTAAACAAGGACGAGTTTCCCCCCCCCAAAAAAAAAAAAAAAAAAAAGGATGAAATGGATGTAGCCTAAGGGGAAGGAGTAGAACCTATTTAGAAAGGAGACCAAAAGCTGAATTTACGAACAAAAAAATGGGAAATTAAAAGAAATCTTAACAAAACCAGATTTTTTTTTCCTTTTTTTTTCCCCTTCTTCTGCCCCCTTTTTTTTTTTTTTTTTTTTTTTTTTTAACAATCCAGGAACCAGGCCCGGAAACAGTTTAGGATCGACTTGAAATCGTTAAATAAAATGCGGTCGGAGCGAAAACGTGTACGTAATATTATGATGGGCGAAGAGGAGGAGGAGAGAGATGGAACAGGAAGAAAAAAGCAAATGCACCTGACTCGGATTTGAAGAAAAGACAATAGGAAGGGAAACGAACCAAAAAAAAAACACGAAGAAGTAAAACACATACACACACACACACACCATTAAAAAAAAAGGAGAAAAAAAAGGAGCTCTAAGAAGAAGAAGTTGTAAATTTTTTAAACAAAAAAAAGAAAAACACAAAAACAAACCACAAAAAAAAAAAAAAAACACACTTTTCGGCACGGGTTTTGACAACAAAACTGACCTCTTTAAACCCCATATGAGCGGCTGCAATGCCAGACAAACCTCCACACCCAGATCCTAGCTCGATACACCGCTTGCCCTTGAAATCCGATCGCTGGCAGATTTCTTCGCAGCTGGGATGCACCAAAGAAAGGGGGCAAAAAAAAAAAAAAAAAAAAAAAAAAAAAGCGGGCGGGTTTCATAAAATGACAGAAATCAATAAATTATTACACAAAAAATTGATTGGTAATTTATAATGACAATAAGAAAGGCCTGAAAGGCCGTCCTGTCCAGTTTCGACAGGTATTTGAATTGGTTGGGCTTAAGGAATTAGACTTTTTTTTCAAAAAAAAAAAAAAAAAAAAAGACACAAGATAGTATCGTTAGATTTGTGGGCCCAAGTCCCACTTTGCCGGATTCCTTATTGCATGACTGGCTGTACAGTCAGAAATGGAGAATTCAGGTAAGTTCGCACCTGTCAGGGGTGCGTTTCCCCCCCCCCCCGAGACATTTCCCCCCTGAGACATTTTCGTCGTCCTTCGTTATACCGGTCGTTGATTCGGCCTCGTGTGGTCATTGGAAGGTTCGAAAAATGCAGGCAGGTGCAGGCACGGCACTTTGGGGGGGGTGGCAGTTTCTTTGAAAAATGCGGGACCGGTAGCTGCCTGTGGGACCGCACGCTGTGTTTTGGTCGATACGGTGGCAAAGCAGCTGCAGGGTGGAAAAGTGGAAAAGTCTGAAATCGGAAAGGGTGGGGCCATGGCCGCAGGTTGAAACGACACACCTGCATTGCATTTGCAAGTGCATGCTTCTAAACCTCACCAATAACGCCTTCTTTATCAATCATGCATGGGGGACTCGGGGGTGTGTCGAGAGGAAGGAGAATCCGCATAAGCGGGACTTGGGGGCCCTGGAAGGAGGGGTTGGGGAGGGACCGACCGTTTCTTTATTTATATTTTGGTCTTGAGGGGGGGAGGGGGGGGGGAGAAAAAGGGAAATCCCCAAGGTGCGTTATTCCTGATCCAATCCAAAGATAAATGAGTTCCAGTGTTGTCCTTGCTGTCAGCTATGGCGCTATGGACGCCATAGCTTCGTCTTTTCTGTGGACGACTTATCGAACTCGTCTAAGGGCCAGGTCCCACAAGCAAAGTGGATGGGATTAAGTGCCCGAATCTGGATGTGTGGTGCAGAGATGCAGAAAGGCAGCTCACTTGGCATTGTCTGCACCTATCGCCAAAAACATGTCCGGATTCACGCGTTCAACCCAATCCTCTTTGCTTAGTGGGATCTCACCCTAAGTATAGGGCCCTGAACTTCGGGGCTTCGGTCAAAATTGGAATGATACAGAGAAGGGTTTTTTTTTTTTTTTGGATACAGAGAAGGTTAGCACGGGCCCTGCGCACGGACGGCACGCAAAAAAAATGTCAAGAAACTTACCATTTACTGGGGGGGGGGAAGAAGAAAAAAAGAAGAAAAAGAGAAGAAAAAAAGAAGAAAAAAAGAAGAAAAAAAGAAGAAGAAAAAAAAAGAAAGCTGGCTCCAGCCTGACGTGGACTATCGGCAGTAATTGCACTCCTTGACAGAACAGATTACTGTAGGCATAAATGTTAAAAGGATTGCTCTTTCCATGTGGGGGTGTAGCTCAGATGGTAGAGCGCTCGCTTAGCATGCGAGAGGCACCGGGATCGATACCCGGCACCTCCATATCGCCGACGATAGCTCAGTTGGTAGAGCGGAGGACTGTAGTGCGATGACTGGAATCCTTAGGTCGCTGGTTCGAATCCGGCTCGTCGGAAATTTTGCAGAGGAGAGACTCGTGTTGTTGCTGCCATGCGTATGTGGTTCAAAACGCTGGTCCGAATCTGGCCGGTGGCAAAACCTTTGCTGGTCCTAGTCGGGCCAGATTCGGACCAGCGTTCCGGTGTGCAAACCTTTGCTGGTCCTAGCCGGGCCAGATTCGGACCAGCGTTCATATGCTTCCCTTATTGCGTCAGCAATTTTCATTGCTGAACAACAATAGCAATCACGGCGGGTCTGGTCCTTGGCCTCTACAACACCCTGGGTTTTCGGGAAAAAAAAAAAAAAAAGAAGGGCAGCAAATGAGGTGGCTGGTCCTAGTCGGGCAGGTCTGGTAGGTCCACTCTGCAGCTTTGTGCAGGATAAACCGCAGCAGTCTCATGTCGGGAAAGGGAATAGCTGCGAAACTTGCTGGTATCATTGCTGCCACAGGATAGAGGTTTCACAGAGGGGTTACCCAGAAGAGGGGGGGTGGGGAAACATGACCATCAGTATCC